GGAAAGTTCTATGTACAGAATGATGGCGTAGCCATGGGGTCTCCTCTCGGTCCACTCCTAGCCGACTGCTTCATGGCGAGTCTTGAAAACAACATCCTCGATACCTTGATAAGTCAACTGCACTTATACAAGAGATACGTAGATGATACGTTTATAATCTGTGATGAAAATTGTGATTTAGATTCTCTCCTCAAAACCTTCAACGCAGCGCATCCATCAATAAGTTTCACTTTAGAACGAGAATCGAACAACGCATTTCCATTCCTTGATGTACTACTCACCAGACGACACGACTGTACTATCCAAAGATCAATATACCGCAAGCCAACATGGACTGGACAGTTTATCAACTTCCAGAGCTTTGTCCCACTAATCCGAAAGAGAAACCTGGTACGTACGTTGTGTTCAAGGATCAGAAAAATCTGCTCGGAAGACATGGTAGAGAAAGAATTAAATTTATTACGTAAAACCCTACTAGAGAATGGGTATCCACCAAGATTTATTGACAAAAACATGAAGGAGAAGCCTCCGGTGTCAAACATCGCAACGGTTCCTAAGAAGACTCTCTTCATGAACCTAGAATTCAAAGGTGATGTCGCAGCGGAAATTCTCAGAAACCGCCTTTCTAAATGTCTGAAGAAGACATTTCCAACAGCCACTCTACGTATCACATTCTCCTGCAGACAGTTAATCCAGTCTAACGCTAAGGACAAGATACCGCTTTTGGCCACCTCAATGTGTATTTATCAATTTACTTGCTCGTGTGGAGCAAAGTATATTGGCCGTACGCAACGTCAAGTCCACAAACGTATTCTGGAACACTGCCCAGCTTGGTTATCCAGAGGAGAAAAGAAGAATAGCAACAGCTCGATCCTCGAACACCTTGTCATCTCTGGACATCGAGCACCCCCACATGAATGCTTCACAGTGTTACACAGAGTCCCTCAATATCGTACAAAGGGACTTCGGATACGCCATCTGTACATAGCTGAAGCATTAGCTATTCGAGATCTGAAACCGGACCTCTGCATCCAAAAGCGATACATACATTCTCTTGCCTTACCATGGCCAGAGTAAAGTTCTTACCACAATTTTGCTTCTTTCCTTTATTATGTAAGTTCACTATTATTACTATTATTATTTTATTTTATTAATACTTTTATTATCATTATTGTTCCCATCATCCACATTTTATTACCACTCTATTACTGTTTATTAATAACATTGCTTTTCATACATATTTTATACAAAAACACTTTATAGCCTTTCCACTAGTTCCTGTCCATTTTACACGAGCTTATTGATTATTCATTATCTCACACTTATTACGTCATGCCAACTTCTGTCTCCTTTCTAACTTACAATTAGTCATCCCTTCTTACACCTTACATTATGTAATACAATTTTCCAAGGACAAAATTTACCAGTATCTGATTGGTCTAAAGATTTCTTTGTTAATTATAATTACGATTGTACAGCTCATGAAAATGAATCGTCGAAAAGAAAATTTTCTTCGCTGTTTGTGCCTTTTTCTTATGACTCAATATGGGAATATTTCGTTCATAAATATATGTGTAAAACTTGGACACTGTGGTAGTAAGTAATTCCATATTAATTTGTTTACTAGATATATCACACGGTGAAACAGTATTATTTACCGGATAACAGTGTTTAGAACACGATTTATTGCTCATTATCATATCAATTATAATCACACGACTTCAAAACTTGAGTTTTATAGTTTTCTTTGTTCTTTCTTATTTGTCGTAGGGGTAGTAGAATTTTCCAGGTATCCAACTGGATGTGTGTTGAATCATTCCTATTACATGTATCTTCAGTTGACCCAATGAACAAAGCTTCTTTAGTTATCAGTCTCTCCCTCCACTCTCTTACACTAGATTTTAAAACTGTCATCTCATCCCATCATCCTATTTTATGGTTATATATATCCAAACCAAGTTCCTGTAGTGCTGTAGCTGAAGTATTCTCCAAATTTCTTATCTTATTCGGGTCAACTAATCTAGTATTTACTAAGATTTTATTCTCCGCTATTCTAATTGACTGATAAACTCAATTAGAAGTAAGCTTTGCCGTGGAGCCAATTAAACAAAATAATTTAGTTTATCTAATACCCTGCCGGAATGATTGCCAGGTCAAATACATACGTCAAAGTAGTAGAACGGGGTTGGTCAGAATAGCCGAACATAAAAACCTAGCAAAATCTAGATTAGTTGACCATAATAAGATAATAGGAAATCTGGAGAATAGTTCAGCCGTAGGTAGCACTACCGGCAATTACAAACACCATACAATAGGATGATGGGATAAGATGACAGTTCTAAAGTCTAATGCAACAGGGCGGAGGAAGAGATTGACAACTAAAGAAGCTTTATTTATCGAGTCAACTGAAGATACATGTAATAGGAATGGTTCAGCATCTGTCTAGCTGGAAATCTGGAGAACCCTACTACCTCTATTACAAATAAGGAGGAATAAGGAAAACCACAAAATTGAAGTTTCGAAGTTGTGTGATTATAATTGATATGGTTATGAACAATAAATTGTGTTCTAAACACTGTCATCCAGTAAATAATACTGCTTCACTGTTTTATGAAATAAACTTGTGTAATATGCAATGCACCACGATCAGTAATAATAATAATAATAGTAATAATAACTTTACTTCGCAGAGCAAGATTACATAATAAGCAGAATTTTCAGCGTAGCTTATTGCATAATATTTTCTCTTCGTCCGGCATTTTCACGTGAAGCAGCCATCTTCAGTACATACAGCTTACCCGAATAGTATTTAATCAATTGGTAATTAGTATCTGTGCCTACAGTATATGCTGTACACGCGAATCTCAGAATATTGCTGCAGGATTTCCAATATGAATTGTTAGAAGTATCTGATGACTTCAGTTATACAGGTGATTGTAAACACCGTAGATGGTGTGAAAAAAGAAATTTCTAATCGTATAGGGAAAGTCAAGGTGGCATATGCCAACCTTAGCTACTTCTGATTCTCCCACAACGTTACAGTTGCCTTTAGATTTTCATGCGTACAATTTTCCTCTGAGTCTGTGAAACCTAACCACTCCGAGCTGAGGATTTATAAGGACTCTAGTGTTAGGCCTCTGCTGTCTCCTTAGAACTGCTTACATCTTATGACATCAATGTATACTCAATTCTGAGGTCTATGGTGCATGTATCAACATGGTGAAGACCGTCTTCCGATAAGTAATGTAAACATAGGACACTAGCCTTATGGTTTGGAAAAGTACTACAAATGTCGACCCAGCAGCTTCTATAATGTTTACTTTTAGCTAGCCCAGAAACTGAATGGAAGTGCCAAGAAGTTGTCGGTTTGTGGTGAGAATTATTGAGTTAGAGGATGTTTGTATCATTTTGGCATCTGTTGGAGTTCCACGATTCCTAAGCTGAGGTTAGACAGACTGTACAACTTAGTGGCTTCAAACGTTTATCTGATATATCTGAGAATTGGAATAAATGGAGGACATGCTGTAGCTACCTACTTTCTTTTCTTTCTGAAAGGAATAAGAAGTAATGAAGGCTCTTGTGAATGCTCTCAATATGTACGCTTAACTATTTTTCACTTTAAAAAATAAGAATTTATTATATTATCATTTATTAAAACACATATTTGGTACACTATGGGCAGTAAGCAATGGGTCACACAAAATCTCTTAGTTTTTGCGAGGGTCTGAATACTGGCTAGACTGAAGTAGGTGGTTGTCTTAGGAGTCCACCCTCAAGCCATTAACTTGAAGTCTGATCCACTAAGCACTCGGATCGTGCCAGCAGCTGCCTTTTCATGGTTGTCGGTCACCAGAACAGGTTAGTACGCCATTCGATGTGTTCAGAGTCTGGGTCCCATATACACTATAGATTTAGAATCAAAGTTTTCGAACTCTTCCTAGGTAAACCAGCATATTCAATATTCCCGTTGTAAGCACTGGACTTTCACGGTCACCTCATAACTTCTGTGAAGAACCACCCTGCCACCTAAAAGTAGTCAACATTTACTGAAAAAAATTTACACGATTTCCTATCATACTACCAAAGGTGTAACGGTCTCCTTGTCTATATGTGTCATACTCTCAGATGAATAATATCAGATGCGTACATTTCCTCACAAACACTTCAGTCAGAGATTGTATAACTCTGAGTTGGTTTGCTAAGAACGTCTTTTCACTGAGTGAAGACTTTCAAATTATTAGAACAGTCATTCATATATTACAGATACTGAGTGAAATATATCCTCACGGTCAAGAATATTCACTGGTGTACAAGGTAAATATCGTCACCAACTTACAGCTGTCATTTTGCACTGCGAAACTTTTAGCAGTACGTACCAATGACTTCAAAAAGTAACCAGACTCAGAGCCTTAAGTTCATTATGTCAACTGATTAACCGCTAAGCCACTGGGATTGATTTCAATGATCCATGAATTCAAATTTCTAACAATTCATGATATACAGTAACACCACTGTTCAATGTCATCGATGAGCATCTGTCCTCACATTCAGCATGGCACACCCCACTGGTCACGACTTCTTAGTAGAACTGCATGATCGGTTCCTTGGCGAATCACTGAAATTACTTCATTACTCATACTGAAGATTGGAATACGCCTCAAGGATTCCTTAAATTTCCTAAAACCTCGAATATTCACTAGTCAAATTATTTTCAAATTGTCCACTGGTGGATCAGGAGCAGAATGATCGTTGACCACGGAAATTGTCCAGGTTCACCTCCCAGCAGACGCACTCCGAAACCTCGCCTGACCAGCAGTAATTCCGTAAAAGAGTGAAGTTACGCAGTTATGAATGGAGCCCCTCTCCCTACTCCGTAAAAACAGAATAATAATACGAGCGCTATCGCAGCCTCAGAGCTCAAATCGTGGAGCCTCACAATCCACTTGGAATACGAAGGAATTCAAAATAAAAATATTCTTTTCAAAGATAACAGTGTGTTTCCAATCACATAAAATTTATTATTTACATATTCTGAATTAAATTTCACAAATAAATTAACAATAAATTAGTTTTATGCATAAAATTTACCTACTGTTAGGCCTATTAAGTAGTATTCTTATAATGTATGTAAAAAGGCGAGTAAAATAAAAAAGTCTACAAATTCATCATCATAGTCATTAATGTAATGAATAGGACAAAAACCAATGAAACTTTCAATTTATTTACATGATTACATCCATTCCAATCATTACAATAACAAAATCGTTTAAAATTCATATTTTTATCCTTAAATAATCCCATAGCTGTTTCAGCTAATACATCACCTTTTAATTTTCCAAGTAAATATTGTTGATAATCCCGTGAATTTACACAGTAACCATGACGACGAAGTTGTGGCATATCTAAACGATATTGTGTATTCAATAGCAGATCACTTAAACAACCACGTGTTACAGTGATTTGATCTGTGTATAAATAAATATAAACATTAAAATAATATAGAAACTTGTAAAAAGCATTCTTATAGCAAAATGGATTATTTACAGTTTGTGTCTTGTAAAGAATCCGACGAGTTTCACTGCACATCTCCTCATCAACCGATATTCCTTGGAGAACTGTTAGAGAAAAAGGAGTTATTCACAGATTTTTCGTCCTGGTCTAGGACTCTGCACCAGAACACACTCACATACCAAGTAGACTTTGAATCCAGAACATTAGGGTAACTAGACCAACCTGCTGATCATTAAAAGAGTGGATTGGAACTCAGTGACTTATGTGTTTACAAGGTCTATCAATTCACCTTATGTCCTTACGAGATCTAAAATCTGATTAGAAGCTACCAGAAAAAGGAATCCTGAAGTTCTAATGCGAAGTCATAGCAGGTGGGTTACGCCATGTCAGGGTGAAGCACATGCTCACTGGTGGTGGTATTTGGCGGCCCAGACCGATAGCTGCTGCCTTAATGTGGTGGTCGCGCTTGCATATCGCAATGACCCAACAAGCTACACTGGCTGAAACTATTGTTCCTGCAGATACCACCATTCCAGGAAGGTTATTAGGATACCGATTAGACTAAAAGCAGCTACGGCATAGTGTAAGAATTTAGTTTTTACACTATGCTGGGGGTCTGTGGGTGAAGTTGTACTGCTGGGGAACAGGGATGTAACAGCCGCGGTAAGGCGTTTGCCTCAGATGACCAGCATGCCAGCTATGCTGTCTCTCCACTCTGGAGAGAGGGAGTTAGAAAAGGTCGACCCCAAAAATTCTACATCCCGACTTACCCTACAGTGGTCCATAACCGGCGGTAAGCCTACTAATACGAAACCAAACCAAGAAATCAAGCAGTTCTCCCATTGACTCTGAGATCACGCAACTCTTACCCTCTTTCTGTTTAATGAGGCAAAATTTCAGTCAGCTTCCAGCCGGAAAGTAAAAACCGCCCACACACTTCCGAAACCACATGTAGCTTTCCTGTGCATCATTCTCCTTTACCCACATCACCTTCATCATCCTACTCCTCTACTACAGTCGGTACTATTCTTCAGACTAGTGAGTCATCTTCACTCTGTGACCACAAACAACAATGAAAGCCATAGAAACAACCCCGACGCCCTCTTAAAGCCACGTCGCCAAATTCATATAGCAGTATTCAACGTCAGGACTCTCTGCCAGATTGGACAACAGGCATCAATAGCAAGAACTCTGGCATCTCGAGCCATGGATGTATGTTACATTTTGGAGACACGCATCTAACTTCACCCGGCCAACAAGGTGAATCTGCAAAATTCACTTTAAAGTTGTCAGGAGACCCCTCAGCTACTTCTCGAGGACTCACAGATGTAGGGATAGCACTGAGTGTTAGGGCAGAAAAATCACTTCTTAACTGGATCCCAGTAGATAATCATATGTGTGTGGTGCGTCTGAACGGGTCCGATAGAAGAAGGAAGAATGGTGTTACCCGTCGCTGTCTTTACGTAGTCTCCGCTTACGCCCCAACAGACTGCAGTTCGGATGAATTACAAGATGACTTCTACCTGAAACTGTCTAACTTGCTGCAAAAAGCAAAACGTTCAGATGTAGTTGTTTTAGCAGGCGACTTCAATACCCGAGTAGGGAAGTTGTGTCAGGCTGAGAAGTATGTAGGTGGTAAGTATGGAGTTCCCCGCCGACGAACCGACAACGGTGATTGTCTTCTACAGTTCTGTTCAGATAACCATCGGTTCCTAGTCAGCACTAACTTTAGGCATAAAGAGAGATACTGTGTAACCTGGCGACCTCCATCACCAAATCAACGCTGGACTCAGATAGACCATATTGCCATAGGGTATCGTTGGTGAGGGTCAGTAGAAGACTTTCGCTCCTTCTGGAACACGTGCGTAGACTCTGATCACGCTCTGGTTCGCACACGTTTATGCTTACGATTAAATGGACGTAAGAAATTGACGGCAGCGAAACAGTTACGTCCCCATCTAGATCGAGACACTGAGTCCTTATTTAAGGAAGAAATAGCGAAACGAGTTTCTGAGGTCGACAGCAGGACTTTCACTGAGGTAGCCTGGCACAACATACAGTTAGCTGTAGATACAGCTGTGAAAGCTGTTAATAAGCTAAAACCTAAAGTTAGTAAAAGCCATTGGATCTCTACTGCCTCATACGAACTGATTGACGCAAGAAGACTGATTCCAGCGAGCTCCTATTATGATGAGGAGCGAAAGCTACTCAAACGCAAACTAACAAGAAGCCTCCGAAAGGACCGTGAACAATGGTGGGCGACAAAAGCGAAAGAGATGGAAAAGGCATTGGCGATTGGTAACACCAGACAACTAGTTAGACTTATAACGGAAACAGGTGGTAAAAGGCAAACGATAAGTGAAACAATCTCTGAAAAAATTGGAAAGTGGTTACTTCCTCCACTTATTCAAACAGGAAACACCGTGTGAACTACAGGCGGAACGGATGAAGATGTCAAAGTCAATCAGGAAGGGCAAGATACAACTTCAGCAATCTGAAATCAGTTTGCAAATCTTCTCCACGCAGTAGCACAAAGAACAAGATTCTCATATCCAAGAAAAATGTTGAGTCATCTAGTCAATTCTTGTACTGCACATCACCAACAGTATTTCCAACAGGTCACTGCAGACTTTTATGAACAGGTGCCGGCTTTGCTCGCTCTATATTTAAGATCAAATAGCCAGCTGGCCAAAGAGAATGAGTAACAAGAAAATCTGCACTTTGACAAACTAACCATGAACCTTTCATATGAACTGTGATCAAGATTTGACCGGATAGTTGCAAAATAATTGAGCGCCGAGTGAGAAGTAGACATTTATAAAATTATATTTATAAAACCATGAACCTATTGCTCAGCAAATATGTAGAAGAAAAAGGAGATGGATTGAGCACACGCCACTGGAGAGACCTTCGGATAACATTGTGCTCAATGCAGGCCATCGCTCGAGTGGAACCCAGAGGGAAAACGACGAGTTTGGCATGTGTCTTGAAGTGACATGGAGGCGATCGTGCAAGAAGGATATGAGAGATGATGGACAGTCGTGAGGCTAGCTAAAGGGGACCGCAGAAAATAGGACAAAGTGTTGATGTTCTGTTGAAGCTCTACGTTTCACTCGAAACTCAAGTGAATAATGATAATAATCTTCATACCTTACAGTGTGTTGAGACCAGAAGCTCGAAAAGTTTTCGAGTCAGCTTTCAACTTATCAATATTCTTCAGTCTAACCTAAACAATAAAGTGGCGTTGAAACACAAACAAGGAGAATTTAAGATAATTTCCACTGTATAATTCAATACCAAATGAGGACGTATTAAATGACGACTGATTCACTAGTCTTTGATTGAACTAATGTGACGTGGTCTCTTGACATTAGTAGTATCTAGACGCAGATAGATAAGGAGCAGCCAGAATTGAAAACAACATTTCAAGTCAGTGGATGCAGAGGTAGAAGTGTTTATTCTTCAAGTATGGATTTAGTTTACGTTGTGGTCAGGAAATAATCTCACTGAATAACTTTTCGTCTCAAGGTTTAGCCTTCGTTTAATCGACAACCAATCAGAACAGTTTGTCGCAGATGGCCTAGCTAACCTTTAATGTGTTTAGAAATGTAGAAATGTGGTGTTCCTCTCCTTAGTAAAAAGTTCCGTTACCAGATCTCTTGGCTTCCCGCGTCATACAAACATCAAGATATTAAAATATGATCCGTTTTATTTTCTAATTTCAAATAACATTCACCAATAAAGCATAATTCCCTCAGTTTTGAGGAAATTGATTTCCCCTTGGACACTTGAACTTTTAATGGATAACTTTTCATGGACAATTGTTGAATTTAGACGAAAAATTGAAATGAATCAGGATTCTGATCACATATCATTTGCTTAAGAGTCCTTGTAGATAAATGTCAGGCTAGTGGAGAGACTAGCTCAAGTAGCCCTCTTCAAGGACGTAGTATGTGTCATCCACAGTATTTGAATTTAGTTAATTACCTGACTTTTAGATTACAGGATTTGTCGGGAAGTGGATTCTTTCAACTTCAACTACTAAATTTCATCACTAACCGACATCAGTTTGAGAGTTCACTGAAAACCAGTGGGGTACTGGACAGCTGCTTCGACTTACTTTGGCAGTCCTTGGCAGTGAGCATCCACGACCCCACTAGGAATCCTATCCAATACCTTCAGATTACGAGATCGAACTTGTTGACGATTCAGCCACTTAGGCTGGAATTCTAGCTTTGTCAACTAACGCCTTGGATAAGAATCCACTTTACCTTCTCACTTGATGGATCCCAATGATCGCAACCTCTCAATATGGCTGACAGAGTTAGAATCCACGGGTCACTAAACTCTGTTCCAAGTATCTGAATGGTCAACGGGCTTAATCTCGTAACATGAACATCCTGAACATCCGATCTCCAGCTGGGTAAGAGGTGCGCACAGCTGGAGAGTACCAAAATAATTCGAAATAGCTATCCATTACTTCATGACTTTCAATGATCTCTGAAACTGATATTCGTTCGTAATGTCATCCGTCTGTTGAAATTAACTTATCTGACTAATATTTAAAATAACATTTTTGTTAACTATATGTTAAAAAACAATCCTACCTTCAACCTTCTGAACTAATTTAACACAGTAATTTTCAATCAATCTTCGACCAGTACATTTTTTCCAATGCATTAGTCGAACATCTATTGGATCACCACAGCCTGATTGGGCACTTGTACATGAATAACAGTATAATTCAGCTGAAATGATTTCTAAAAAGAAGTCAAAGTTAAAAACAAAAAGGGAGACAATTATTCATGCAGTAAGTAAAATGATAATTAAATTGCAAATTTCTATGGTAACATTAGCAATAATAAAAGCAAGGTCATTTGGGTGAACTCTTCTTTAGATCTACTCTAGTACTTCTTGCCAATGCGGGGCAGCAAGTTTAAGATATTGGAACTTTAAGGTGACCCAACCAGTTGAATCCCAATTAATGCCTTGAGCATAAGTTAATGACACAGTCACAAATCTGCTTAGTGTCTAACAGCATGCTAAGGAAACAGTTTCAGTCATCTAATAACTGCCTTCACGGTTGTAGTGAGTTAGTGACCACTAAGTTGGACAACAATCCTTGGTTGTGTGGTTTCTTTGTTTAAAAATTACTAAGTATCGAGAAATATTAAACTACTTTGTGAAATTTTAGATGAATTACAAATTATTCATATAGTTTATAATATATGAACCTTATCTTTGATTGCGTGCTGTTTCCAGAATGTCTCTTCAGAGTTAGAGTGTCGTCTTCAGTTTAAGTACAGAAAGCATTCTTAATTAGTTGACAGATGTCTGGCAGAAGTTAAACTTTGGGCACTGAAAAGGCGTTAACGGACCAGGGACCCTGCAAAGTGTAGTAACGCTGAAAGGTAAATTTGGTCTCCTAACTCTAACCCTAGGCTTAATCTTTCCCTAACCTAACCCATATCTATTTTTAAGCTATCCCCAAATTAGCCTTAATCTACCTCTAGCTAGACCTAATACCTCCCTTATTAGGTTAACATAGCCCGAAAGCAGTCTTAGCTTAAACCTTAACTTAATCTTTCCTAAATATAACCTAAAGCTTACCAGGTATTACGTTTAATATCGTAGCACTTCATTACCTGATTTCAATGACTTGCTGACTGAGCTTGATATAAGAATAAAACTTGGGCACTGTGGTAGAGTGTAATTCCATTATGGGTAGATTTTATTTTGATAGAGTCTCACAGTGTTATACAGTAATATTTACTGATGACGTTTCGAGCACAATTTATTGCTCATAATCATATCAAGTTAATCACACGACTTCCTAAATTCATTTATATAGTTCCTTTGTTTTTCACTTGATTTGATTGGTAGTATTATTTTTCATATTTAGGGTATGTGTGATGATTCATTCCTATTGCATGTATTGGGTGTAGATTCGATGAACAAGGATTCAGTAATCAACCTCTCTCTCCACCTACATAGACTACTTCTTAGAATTTTAACCCTCTCCCACCCTATTGTGTGGTTGTGGGTTATTGCATGCAGTGCTGAGCTTTTTTCTAAATTACTTATCTTCTCAGGGTCAACCATTCTTACCTTAGCTAAATTCTAATGTTCTGAAAATCTGACTACCCCTGACCTACTAGTTTGACCTATGTAGTTAACCTCACAGTCATTGCAGGGTATTTTGTAGATTATATTATTTTGTCTAATTGGGTCCACTGGGTCCTTTAACCTACAGAGCTTGTCCCTGAGTGAGTTTGTAGGTTTAAATGCCACTCCAGTTCCTGCCTTATTTAGAATCCTACGTAGGGTCTCAGATGTCCCCTCCTTATATGGTATAACAGTGGATGACTTATATTCTCTCTTATTTATGTTATCATTACTAGTTCCATAATTATTTTTATTTTTATTTTGTTTTTGGCCTTTAGTTATCTTCCTAATGAATTTTAAAGGATAATTATTCAACACCAACGCTTCTCCTATCTGTTTTATCTCGTCGTTTAGGTCTTTTTCTGTGCTACTTAGTGCTATGGCTCGGTTTGTTAGACACTTAACTAAGCCTGCCTTAACAGTTAACGGATGCGACGAATTAAAATCGAAATATCTATTAGAATGCGTTGGTTTTCTATACACACTAGTTTGCAGTTTACCTTCTTCTATTCGTTTTATTTTACAATCTAGCATAGCTAACTCTCCTTGTTCATCTTCCGATTCAAATGTGAATTTTATCCCCTCTACTAGTGAGTTAATATGTGTCAAGAAGCTAGAGATATGTTCTGTTTTTAACACTGTGAAAGTGTCATCCACATATCTCCACCATATTTTGACTTAGCTTCCCATAGTCACTGGTGCGTTCGCTCCTCTTCGTTGCCTAAAGTTTAACTTTTCCTGTGTTCGCTTGTTGAGCCTTAGGAATTCATATATGAACCAGTCTGGTTTTTTGTGCAAACTACAACGTGAATAGTTTTGATTTCACCGTGCTTTCGTTTTAGATAGTCGCCTTGAGGTATGCAGTGGTTTATTTTACAGACGTTTCCTGTTCTCACTTGCTTGAAGGTGAAGATTTTATATAAGGCTTTTGCGAACTTTGACGCTGAAATATTTCGTATATTATATCCGACTTATATCAGACCTCATTTGGAATATGGGATCCAGGCAGCGAGCCCGTGTTTCAAATACGAAATAGACTTATTAGAAAGGGTGCAAAGAGTAGAAAACTAAGCTAATAAAGGGTTTCTCAGCCCTCTCATATGAGGAGAAGTTAAGTCGACTGGGTTTATTTCCACTGTTATACAGACGAATTAGGGGTGACCTAATACTAGAATACCGTATCCTCAGAAATGATTTTGGAGCTAATTTATTTAATTTATTTCTTCCTTCTAGCACCAACCGATTACGAGGACATCACCTCAAGGTTCAAAAACCACGGTCGAATCGTCTGCGTCTGGAGATCCGATTTTCGCATCGAATTGTGAACCATTGGAACTCCCTACCGGAACACGTCGTATCAGCGCCATCCGTTGATTCATTCAAGGCGAGATTGGACCTCCTGTGTGTAACAAATCGAAAGGATTAACACAGGCATACAGCCTACTATCCTAAATAAATTGTAAACTGTAAGATGTAGTTTTATTAAGACATTAGTTAGAACTCATTGGTCCGTAAACACAATTGAGCAGTTTTTAAATAGTTGTGCTCTTTGAGGAGGTTGATTTAATTGCGAAGCTTTCGTTTTTATTCTAGGCAACATCTTCAGCACGAGTTTGAGTATAAGAAATCCTGGCCTGAAGACGGTGTCTAAAGGGACAACGAAAGCTTAGTAATCAAATCATCCAGCTCAGAGAACACAACTAAATCAAAATCATCCACCAGAGCTACGAATTATCTCCATTATAATTGACCGGCTTCTAATTTGGGTAGTATGATATTATGAATTTTATTTCAAACTTTAAAGTAGCTTTATTCCTAAGAACTCAAGTTTTTCCAATTGAATATGTTGCTACATTCAAGAAAATTTACAAAGATAACGAATTCTGTGTTATGACATCTCACCTCAATTGACTGTTGCTAGAAGCATTACGGAGTAGGATGGAAGAATTTTCTAATACAATGACTTCTACAAACTTTTCACCTAATTTTTTAAATTACATTTTCCTCAACGTTTCTTTTATGACTGGATACTTTTAACTCTAAAGGTTTATCTTTGGTGGGTTTTTGTATGTTTATCAAATGCTCTTTTCGCAAACTGTTAAAGTAGTCTGTCCACTATATCTTAAGTAGTTTAATATGCAGAATCAACGGCCATTTTGTACATTTCACCCGAACGTTCAATTGTTGATAATAAGGATTGACATTTCGAGATAAAGTTTTTGAGATAGTTGTTAATATTCTGGTCGACAGGCATTTGGAATTATGTGAAAAATGGGCTAAATCCATTCTATCTAACTCACACCACCCTCTTCATTCCCAACTCTCCCCTTGTATCTCATAAGGCAGGACCAGAAGCCTATATAGAAAACTATATGCTCGCACCAGCAAGTACAAAAGCTCAACCATACCCTACTTAGCTCGTGTTCTGTGCGATAAAGAAAGCATTAGGCGTGATACCTATAACTTATTAAATAGTCAGTAGAACAACTGGATCTCGTCTTTCCAACTCATATCATTTATAGGTACAATGTTTTCTTTCTTTCCTTTCCTTTTTTTGTTATGTGCTGTTTTGTTTCTCTCTTCCTTACAAACTCTATTTAAAGCATTCTTCTTCGTTCTTTCACACTCTGTATATCTCGACCTTTTTGTTACCGCTCACGCCAGTAAATATGCTGGTATCTACTTTTCTAACACCTTCAAACATTCTGTTCACTTCTGGCTTCGCTACCAATGTGCTAATATGTTGTCAAAATTAGCTGACACTACCCATATTCGATGCAGAATTTTATTTATTGTTAACGTACAAACTGGATGCAATACTGTAGTGAAATGCTGAGAATTCCATTCTGCATCACAAGTACTGTTTTGGAATAAAGTAAATTATTATTTATTGAGACGTTTTTAGATGACAGCTTTAGCCTAAACATTTCTGCACTTCCATTTGGTGAAAGCAAGCGTTTTAGTGCTTATAAACGATATCATTAAGCAACAGCATTGACTTACCATGTGGAAAATTAACAAAACGTTATTTTATGATTGTTTATTTTACCATAATTTAAGAATCTTTATGGAATCAGTATGACCATTTTTCCTAGTGTTTGATTTATAAAGAGATTTATGAAGATAATCTAAGTTTTGTATGATAACTACTATACAGATTACGAGCCGGTTAACTAGGCTGAATTCAGTATTGGAATGTGGATCCTATTGATGTATTTACTCTGGTTATTTCAAATGTCTCTGATAATGATAAACCTTTTATTGAATAGAGACATAGAAGACTTTGCTGAGACTCTATCATGAACCAAAATATTTCAAACAACCTCGTAAAAATGGCTCAGGCATCATGCTACAAGTGATTTAAATAGTTGAATAGAAAAAGTATGAAGGTTAAGAAGAGCTGCTTATATAAGTACGGTGAAGATGAATATACTCACCAGATCTTAGAATATCGTTTTCAGTTTGCTTTTTTCTAATATTTTTGGTTATTTCTTCCCTAGTCACCTAATACTCTGTACTATAAAGATAAATCAGAGCACAAGCAACAATATCCTACGAGTTTTAGTAATATCTTTTAATAAGAACATTTCCACCAGCATTTGCCTTGTTTGCAGAAGAAATCCAGAAAATAAGTAAATCCTAATTATTAGGAGAAGCATACACCTAGGCTTGTGATTTTTACTCAATAAGGCATATAATTTATATTCACAAGTCTTAGAAACTGTACTGGAATGCTCTTTACTGAAACCGGCAATTCATCACACCGCAAGATTCCTTTATTTATTATCTATCCTACTGTGATATAATACTCTTGCATGTTTAGGCTTCCAATCTAATCCAACTACCCACATATTGAGTCTGCTGCGTACAGACTGCGTGGTGTTTTCATTTTTACTCCTGAACTTTCTAACTTGCTTCCGAAACATGTCTAACCATGAACAAATATGAACTGAACTGGCATTGTCGCCAATTAGCTGAATGGATTGCTTAAAGACAGCTATCCTCCTATGATGTGCTCAATGTGTATAGGAGTACACTTTGTTCATAAACGGCTTCTGCACCTTTGGTGACCCAGTTTAAGCCCAAAAGAAGCCCTACAAGAAAGCTACAGGTATGGATAAAAACTTTGAGGTAAGAGACAACTATGGAATATTTTCATTACCAGATTTACAAGACAATTCCATCTTCAGCTGCACAAGGCTATAACTCCTCATATAACTGTGACATTCAGGGCCAGGAAGGCCTACGTTAAGAAGATCGAGGAGCATTTCTTATGCTCTCCTGAAAAATTCCCTCCTATTCAAGAGGAAAAATCATGGATATTCAGACGTTGCCATTTTAATGTTATATCCAAGTTTTCTATATACAAATGATTTACACTTTATTACAATGCTCCAGTGAATGTATACTCACATAATCTGTTCTCCAGTTGACACCATTTTCCGGGGACAATACTAACCAACAGGCAGAGAACCGAGACAATACTCTTGTTACGACATCATACAAGATCAAATGTAGGACCACTATGACGCAAGTGGAAGGGTGTGGATGCTTAGCTACAGGATAGTATATATTTTGAGATGGTCAAAATCACTTTACTGTCTTAATCACATTTTGAAGTTTGAGTGACTGTCAAGAATATGAGTACACTGGTTAAAGTTAGACTTATTCAAAGCAGTAAAAAATTAAATGATACCTCTCACTTAGGGCATTTTAGTAAAACTGAGAAGTTCTGAGGCCTATGGAATGATTAAAGCATGAGTCAGAAACCTGTTCATGCAGAGAAGATACTTGGTATGATTAAGTGTATCTCTGTTCTCTCGAAGGCAGAAGAAAAATAATGTAGCACTACGTAAGTTAAATTTACTCCTGTTTCCAATCAATATAAGTGAGCTAACAAGAACAACTAGGCATCATATTTGAGGAACAAGCAATAATCTGCAAGGTTTTATGAACAAATGTGAAGTTTAAACTTCAACGTAAAATCTCCTAACTGATGATCTTACATTCCCAAGCACGTTGCTTGATACCGCCATACATGCATACTGCAGATAGACTTTTATCCAAGTCACAGACATAAATATCAGATCACTGATAAAATCATACTCCAATTTGTGGAACCTTAGGTGATCTTCGGAACAGTTGAGATTTTTGTGGAGATAGTTTGGTCATAAGGCAGAATGAAGGACGTAAAACTGTCGCAAAATATTGTAATACATATGGATGCTGAATTTCCGTTCAATTAATCGGTAGGAAACATGGCAGATTATAACACAAACCAAAATCTTTAGAGGTTACAACTAAAGACCGAAAACAGATTTTCTTCATACCGAGAGCAGTTGTAAAATCTTCTAATAATTATTATTGGCACCTTCATGCCATCAAAAAACAAAACAATAAAGCCGGAAATAAGTGTTTTCTACGAAAACGATGTGTATCCGCATTGAAAAAATTACACCCATTATTTAATTTCACTAAAAAAATTCAATTTCTAATTGCTTACCAGCTAAAAAGTGCAGTAAACTGACACCAAATATTGCATTCATTAAAGTGTAAACTGATGTTTACACTTTTATAAGTTTGCCAGAAAATTGATGCAGACAAACAAGTCCAATGTATGTAAAGACTTCATATTTACTGGTTGAGGATAGTAGGCTTAAAGCCCATGTCAATCTTTTCCTAGTGAATTTCTATGGTTATACAAAACCTTCTTGAATGAATCAGTTGAAGTTGCAGACACCACTTCTCGGAGTCCCATATCCAATATCCAATATCCTGATTACGAGCTAGTATAAACCAGTGATTTCTTTGAGCTCGCTTCTTGATTGTAAGGTAGGCGTTCCAGATCTTCGGTGAACTTATGCGTAGTAAATCCCGCCACTCGACTGCTTTAGCTCTGGTAGACTCCAGGAGGAGTGATGCGAGGATTGGTCAAGATTGTGGTTTGTAGTGTGCAGTATGTTAGGACTCAGCTGCTGCCGTGAATGGAGTTTGACCTAACACCCGTTGGTCATTCGGTATAGTCATAAAAGTAGAGTAATAATAATAATGATAATAATAGGTTGTAGTGTAGATAATATAGGTTGAGATAAGTGAAATAGTAAAGAAAGAAAGAAAAGATAGAGTAGTCGGTACAGTGGGAGAAGACAGGACGGGTCGTGGGGATTTAGCTTGTATGCTTATCCATTGACAATGTGGTTTCAAATTTTAAGAGGGTAAGCCAATGAGACACAAACCATGCATTTCTGCATGATTGTCCAGCTTCCGCTTAAAAGTCTCCACAGATGGAGCTGTAGTTACGGCCGCCGGTAAAGCGTTCCAGAGACGGCAAACTCGAAGCGAGAAGAAATGTGAACGCACTCGAGTCCTTGGTCTCTGGTGTGCTATCCTTAGTGGGTTACCTCGTGGAAGCCTATAATCACTTAATGGCAGGATGCTCTTATTAGGATCGGCCTGGTCATTTAGGATCTTATAGACGGTGATGAGGTCTCCCCTGTGACTACGGTAACTAAGTGTGAAAAGACTTAATTTCTTCAGTCTCTCCTCATATGATTTGTTGCGGAGGCCGATCACCCATTTTGTCGCTCGTCTCTGGACACTTTCTAGCATGTTAGCATCCCTTTTGAGTAGCGGAGGAGCAATGATATTATGCACCTCAAGGAGTGGCCTCACGTATGTCGTATACAACGTTAGGAATAGTTCAGGAGTAAGATCTCCCAGTTGCCTATGCATAAAGTGTAAAGTGCCGTAAGCTTTGGCGACGTCCCTCGTGTAATTTACACTGGTGTCTAGCTTTTCTGTTAAAATAAGGCCTAGATCGCGTTCTGATGGCACACAACTCAAGTTCTGGCCACCAAGGGTGTAATTTGCACTCTGTGACCTGCCGGAATGAAGTTGCACTACTTTGCACTTCTTTAAGTTGAAAGGCATTCCGTTAGCCAGAGCCCAGTCCCCCAGCGTTTGCAGGTCAGCCTGCAATCTGTCGGAGTCTTCCGATGAGTTTATTGCTCTCCAAATCTTTACGTCGTCAGCGTAAAGAAGCGCAGAGCAATTCAGTTGACAGGGCAGGTCATTGATAAAAATCAAAAACATCAACGGCCCTAAGATAGAACCCTGAGTCGCCTCCAAGAGTTTTTTAATGTGGACGTTTTTTTGATTTACAGCTTGATTCCACACCGTATTTTCAGTACAAGTATGGAATTTTCAGCATGGATATCGGTGGCCCAAATTCAGGCCGACCATAGATATCGGGTGTGCGCCGGCAGGGGATCGAACCCCGGATCATGTGCATGGTCGGCGAGAGTCCTAACCACTCGGTGTGAGAACCAGTACTCCACAACAATACGATTTCTTCTTGGCTTTTGAAATCTCCTGTTCCGACCTGGTGGGAAGGAAAAGATAGAATCGATCAGGTCCATAGTCATTATTTAAAATTTTAAACACTGTGCCCACGGTATGACGGAGATATTTAAACTGTCAAGTCTTTCCTCGTATGATAAGTTAGTCATGCCAATAACCATACGTGTTGCCTTCCTTTAAACCATTTCTAGACTATGCGAGTCCCCTTTAAGACAAGGACTGGCTGCCTGGATACAGTTTTCTAGTCTTGACCTTACCAGAGATGTATATAAGGAGGTGAACATACCTCTTTTAGGGGACGAAGGTATCGACGTTCGCGAGTTGTACGGATTATACTAACGCAAGATCTTATACCAACAACTTCTATAGTGTTCGTTCTTCGAGTACCAAATGGTAAAGCAAAAGACCAGATTTTGTCGTCCAAAGTACGTATTATATTTCGGGACAAAATCGCGGGTAGAGGTGAATGCTTAGCTAGCTAGTAATCGTGCACGCAAGTGACACGACGGAGCACCAAATGGCGGGGATGCTTGACCGTAAGCCTTCAGCTAAACAAGTCGACTTAAACAGTGATGGTCAGCATCCAATGTTGAGTGATGATTGCTGTGGTTAATAATTTTGGGGAATTATTTACCGCTACAGCTCACTCCCCCCCCCTAGTGGGTTTGTGAGGACCCTAAGACATGACCAGCCGGAAGTAAAAAAATCTCGATGGTTCCCTGATGGGTGAAGAAAATCTTCCGAGCGGCTTGATCGAGAGCCTGCTGGTCTGTCTGCCTATGCTAATAGGGTGTCTGTACATAGCTTCCTCAGTGTTGTTCGTTGGATCCCGTGCTTCGTTTGTTTTCTGTCCAGTGCCCGTTGCACCTGGAAAAGAAAACAAGAATGCTGAGAACCTTGTCAAGAAAAATGTACCAAATAAGCGTTTTTTTACCAAAAAAAAATTGACATGCATCTACTATACAGTAAAATAATGTAAAGTGCAAAATATCGGGAAAAAAATATACATCTAATTTAATTTAATGTACGGTTATAGGAAAAATATCATTTACTTGTGTTAAATGATGCAATATAAAAAAAATTGATGTGTCACTCAGTTATGTGAAATAGGTGTGAAGGTATTCTTGGAATCTAACGTGACGTCCAGAACGCGTTTTCTTAGAGTGATCGACCGAAGTAGCCAGTGGGCGAATGCCCTGACAGTCAATAGTGTGACCCAGAAAATCGAGTGAGTCAACGCCTATTTGACACTTCTGTATATTGATGGTAACACCATGTTGGCGTAACCTTTCAAATGCCAAGTCCAAGTGTCTAAGGTGAGTTTCCTTATCTGGACTGGCAATGAGGCAGTCGTCTAAGTATGCGTATACAAAGTCGAGAGCGCGAAATACTTCATCGATGAAGCGTTGGAATGTTTAGGCCGCATTCTGGAGGCCGAATGGCATACGTAGGAATTCAAAAAGTCCGAAAGGCGTGATGATAGCTGTTTTCAGAATATCTTCCGTTGCCATCGGGATTTGGTTATATGCTTTAACCAAGTCGATTTTGGAGAATATAGATGCTCCAGATAACGTTGCCGTCAAGTCGTGTATGTGAGGCAAAGGGTAGCAATCAGGAGTTGTTTTGGCGTTCACTCGCCGGTAATCACCAGTGGGTCGCCAATCGTCACTATCCTTTTTCGGTACCATATGTAATGGGGATGCCCATGGACTATTCGATGGTCGAATGATGCCAAGGGTGAGCATACGATCGAATTCGTTTCTGGCAATTCTCAGTTTGTCAGGGGCCAGTCGTCGTGCTTTAGATGTCACGGGCTGTCCTGAGGTTATGATATGGTGCATAACATTGCTGGTTATACACGGGAGATCGTTAGATGGGCAATTCAGTTCCGGATATTTGTCAACAATCGGTTGAAAAGTTGGATCGAGGATTGCTTTCATCTTAACGATTGACAAGCTGGGGCCTACGTAAGTTATGCCTTTGATAGACAAACTAGTAGTGTTGTCAATTAATCGTTTACGGCGGACGTCTACGAGCAAATCATGATGATTAAGTAGGTCCGTGCCAATGATGGGCATTGTGACGTCAGCGATTAGGAAAATCCACCGAATAGGTTTGCGTAAACCTACGTTCAGATAGACGTATTTCCGACCATAGGTTGCAATTGGTTTTCCATTTGCAGCCTGTAGGTTGAAGTTAGGATCCTTCTGTCGATCTGCTGCTGTAGCAGGAAGGGCGCTGACTTCGGCGCCTGTGTCGACTAGATATCTAGTCTGGCTCATTACATCATGGATGTAAAGTAAGCGGCTAGCGCCACCGGCGACGGTTGCCACTAACGCGTGCCGGCGGGATAGTTTCCCAAAGACTTGGAGGCTTTGCCGAAATCACAAGGTTTTCGACAACATTTCGCTTCCTTGCCATAGGTGTTGTGATACCAACACCAGTCAGGATTTTTGAGGGAGCGTGTGTTGGACTTAGATCGTCCACGTGCGCTTTGCCGTTGAGGGGATTTAGAACGACGATAGGAGGAATTGCTAGGCTTGTTTGACCTAAGCATCTGCTGGACGGAGTTGATTAACTCTATCATTGCAGAATCCTTCCTCGAAGTCTGTTCGGTAACAGAGTATACTTCGGTAACTGGCCGTTTCGTTATCTCTAGAATTCTATCTGCAGAGACAGCTAAGTCATCTATGAGAACACTTTGAAGTGTCACAAGTACAGTCTGAACTGACTGTGGCAGTTTGGATAAAAATAGTTCTCTGAACAGTCCTTCATCGAACTGACTTTGGCCAATGATCTCTTTCATTCTTGCCAGCATGCTCACAGCTGACTGATCCCCTAACTCGATGTTACGAAATAACTCATCCAGACGTTGTCGATCTGTGAGAACGTTTCTCTTGAGGATGGATGCTTTGAGCAACTCGTACGAGTTACTTACCGACATCTGCAGAGTTACGCACTTGCTGAATTCCCGCGGTAGGGCGTGAATAACTGCAAGGAACTGTGAACGTTGATCAGTTATGCCATGTTCACAAAAATCGGACTCAGCAATCTGAAACCACGTTTCAGCATTATCTGGCCAATATGGTACTAGCTGGATTGTTTTGGCGGTTGAGCGAATCCGAATAACTTTGGGGCTAGGATCACTCGTGACGAAAGGTATGCCGATAACAATATAGTACAAGAATAAACACAAAAAGGAACGAACTCACCGGGTTTATTTGCGTGTGAATTGAAGATGTAGTTCGTGGTTGG